GAACACTTAAACACGATAGTAATAGAAAGTAAGAAGAAAGGACTATTAATTGTAAGAAAATCGAATGCATGTTCGTCAGCAAAAAAAGAACACATGTCCATAATGGGAATGTTAAAATCAAGAAGGTACAGGAATTTAATTATTTGGCTAGTGAAGTTACAGAGGAGAGAATATGTGCAAAGGAAATCTAAGGGCCCTTCGTGTGTTTATAATACAAACCAGAGATTGGCTTTTTGAAGAAACAGAAATATACCTGAACTGGTAACAGTTTCATTTCGTTGTTTTGTTTAGCGGAATATCAACACCTATGGGTTATTTAATACCGAAATCTAAATATGAAAATTAAAACTTCATAATTAATTCAAAAGAATTGCATTATTTCTTGATTAAATGTTAATGTTGCATCTTTTAACGATAAATGAAAACTCGTTTCTCCTTACAAGAGATAACATTAATCATAGCAAATTGTTTTTTCTTTTTTGACAAGGTATGCCAGATCTTCAATTTTACAATGTATTTATTGTCACTTTACTATAAAAATGCATCGTTGGTCATTTTTTAATAAAAATGTACTCCTTGTAATTTCACTACAAAAATGTATTGTGGGTAATTTTTTCTAAAAATGTATTACTGTTATTTTTATTATAAAAAAAAAATGTATTTTTGTTTAATTTGCAGTGTAACACCCGCACTCAGTTTGCATAAAAAATTTCCAGAATACTTACATATATGTGTAACTGTACATGCTCCATTCGAATCTGGCTTGATAAATTTGATACAATTTATCTTTTTGGAGGTATCGACAATGAAAGTTTGGATTCATTCCCGTCGTGGGCAGCCATCGCGTTGTTTGTATATATTCGCTGCAGAATAGCTATCAGTGTAGGTATCATTGTGCAAACTGAGCATGTGTACATAAATAGTTCTCGTGTGCAGTAATTGAGACAAATTTAGACAAGAAAGATCAGTTCCGAGGTTAGTTTTCATAGTCTTCCGCGTTTAGCTTTCCACAGCAAACAACGCTAGTAATGGCTTCCGCCAACGACGCGATTGAATCCCAAATTTCACTGTCGATAACCCCAAAACGGTAGATTTTATCAAATTTATCAAGCCAGATTTGAATGGAGCATGTACAGTTACACATATATGTAAGTATTCTGGAAATTTTTAATGCGAACTGAGCTCGGATGTTACACTGCAAATTAACCGTATATTTTATACTTTCCTAGTGTTTTGTTTTTTGTTTAAGTGCTCGCTATTTGCTCATAGCTGGGACCCTAACAGGTTCTACCACGCCGGGTCAGGGTGGACGTGGAAGCAACAAAAATTAAGAGACGGTTCCATCCACCTTAAAACTTCCAATCTCTCGATATAAAACTTGACTACCGAATGTAGTTTATTGTGTAGGCAATAGGGATTAGAGTGCAAATCCTAAGAGACTAATACACGCGAAAAGTAGTAACCAATCATATACTGTAAATTCTTTTTTTTATGGTAGAAATTCAGTGATGATAGAGGTTCAAATACTCAAATTATGGGCTTCCAAAATGTTCAATAGCGGGTGTGAATTATCCCCCATAGGGTGTCTTGGTATTATTGAATTGGCTGATATTTTGGAAATAGGCATCATTTCAGGTCATTTACCTAAGTTTAAATTTAATTCAAATCGAAGAGAACAAATTTGAGGGGGTGGTGGTGATAGACCACGATGAGACATTCTTTGATCAAAATAAAATATCATATTACATCTACCCTCATACAGGGAGTTTATTCCAAATTTCATAAAAATCTGTTCAGTTTTTGAATCCATGGATACATTTACGAGGTGTGACCCAAATGTAACAGGAATTGTGTCATATAATTTTATTCATTTATTGTTGCATGTTTATATTCTTATCACCTTCAAAATATTCTCCATTTGAAGCAATGCACCGCTCCAGATGTGTTTTCCACTGTTCAAAGCAGTCCTGGAACTATTGTGAAGTTATGTTTTTTAATGACTCCGTCGTTTTCTTCTTAACCTCTTCCGCATCTGCAAAAACGTTTTCCTTTGAGGACTTTCTTCATTCGTGGGAACAAACATAAAATCGCAGGGAGCGAAATCGGGTGAATAGGGAAGGTGGGGATGTGGAGTCATGCTATTCTTGGTCAGAATCTGTCTCACACTCAAGGCGGTGTGCGCTGGCGCATTGTCGTGATGCAACCACCACCCTCCACTTTGCCACAGGTCAGGGCGTTTTCGTCCCACCTTGTCTGGCCAAACGCTTCCGGACTTCCAAATAAAAGACCTGGTTAACAGTTTATTCAGGAGGAACAAATTCTTTGTGAAAAATTCCTTTTCACAGCAAAGAAACAAATTAGAACCGTCTTGACATTGGACTTCACTTGACGCGCTTTTTGGGGTTCGTGGTGACGTTGGCTGCTTCCACTTACTTGATTGCTACTTCGTTTCCGGGTCGTAGCCATAGCAGCAGCTTTAGTCACTAGTGATGACCTTCGAAAAAAGGTCTGGATTAACATCCAACTGTTCTTTCAGTTTACGACAGGCATCCTTTCAGTCATGGTAAAAATAGACGAAAATGTGTGAAGCACTTCAAAACAAACGTGAACCACGTAGCTGTACGTCTTCCCACGATAACACCAGTTAGCACACTAATGCTTGAGGGTTGCCTCAAGTGGCATCTAGCGGTAGAAGCCTGAACTACTACGGGTTTGCCACACAGAAAACGATTCCGGTTACTTTTGGCCCCTCTCGTATCTTCAAGGGTAGGGGGATTCTGTCCCCTTTGCTGCCCCCAAAAATAAATCAAAACCCCCTTTTCATGTTCCAAATTTAATGAAGATCGGTGAAGTAGTTTTCTTCCTATAGATGTACAGACAGACAAACAGATATACACAGATACATTCATCTTTACTGATATAGATATATGTATACATCTCTGTGTGTTATTTTATTTCAAATTTTATATAGTACAGCCGTGTACTTATCAATAATCGTAATAAAACAATTTGAAAACAAGCTCTATATTCTGTACTCGATTTGCAGACCGTGATTACAGTACAAGTATTCTTTTAATTTATTTTCCCTTTATTTATTCGTTTCACTTATTTTGATTCCGTTTTCCCTAATCAAGGCAATAAAGCCACTAAGACTCAAGTGCTTACTGAGTGTGAAAGAATATGAGAAAAAGAAAACATTAAGGACAGTGAACGGAAAAAGGGCATAAATTGCATTTAAATTTTTGAAGTTAGAAGTTAACTGGAAAACAGGAAGTCCGAAAGAAGAAATTGAAACCTAGCAATTTCAACTCTATACAGTTGAAACCTAGCAATTTCGACTCTATGCAGTTGAAACCAAGCAATTTCAACTGTATACGGTTGAAACCTAGCAATTTCAACTGTATACGGTTGAAACCTAGCAATTTCGACTCTATGCAGTTGAAACCTAGCAATTCCAACAGTATACGGTTGAAACCTAGCAATTTCAACTGTATACGGTTGAAACCTAGCAATTTCGATTCTATGCAGTTGAAACCTAGCAATTTCGACTCTATGCAGTTAAAACCTAGCAATTTCAACTGTATACGGTTGAAACCTAGCAATTTCAACTCTATACGGTTGAAACCTAGCTGCCAATCTGTTACCCCGCTTAAATCCGTCAAGTCGAGGTACCAAAGCGGACAGATCACCAGCACAATTACCATGAAAATATTTAAAGCAAAAGCACAGGGAGATATGTTACGACGCTGGGAAGAACGTTAATAGACCGAAACATCTCGCGTATTTCAGCCTGTTCACATCCAATACAGGAATCTGGTACAATTGCTGTATCTTTTCTTACTCACTCTTGGCATTTCAGTGATTGATATGCAGGGATATTTTAAAGAAAATGAAAACAAACATGATCAAAAGTTGGAATTTTTAAATTTTTATTTTATGAAATTTAATAGCTAGTCAGAAGTAACGAGTGGCTATAGCATTAATTTTTCTAAAAGAAAAAGATTTGAGAAACAATATGGTAGCAATTTAAGGAAAAATAAGTTAAACTGAAAAATTTTGACGTTTCTTCAGGGTTTTTTTTTTTATTTTTCAGGAGATTTTTGTGTTAAAACAACATTTGGAAATCGGTTCCGGTTTGGGCCTGCGTAAGTATTTTTTTTGTTTTACATTGAGAATTAATAATTATGGCAACGTCATTTTATGAATGTAAATGAAAGGGAAACTGAATTCATAAGGGATTATTTTCTTATCAAAAGTTGAAGCGGTAACAAAGGGAATATTTTAAAAAATACGTTAAAATATTTATAAATTAAAGATATTTTCTGATTTTAATATCAGAGAAAAGCGTAACTTCAGCTTTATTAAGTTTACGAGATGTTTATTTTATCCGTGGTTACCACAAGTACAGTTTGTGTAACAAACAGGAGAATATTGAAGATGGTATTCTGTTGTTCAATTTTTTGTTCAGATTTTGGGAAATGGTTGGTAGCCCGATTTCATCATTTCACTGATGAAATTGGTACTTGTAACAGCAGATTTGATGCTATAAGCTTCTTTACTTTTCGCTTGTAGAATTATTTTGTGGCTTCCTGGTATCCTCTCAAGTAATATCTTCAAAAATTAAAATGCAATGATAATCGTCATTTTTTGTCTTGAATCTTGTCCCTTTAGTGTCTTTGTTTCTTTCATTCTCCGTGGCTTTATCGCCTTGATTGGCATGAACATGGTTTTTAAAACTAGATTATGCTGAAGATGACTCAGTAAATCATTGATCTAATATTTTTTACACACTAAATTTCAACCAATACTAGACTCGAATGACGTTCAAGGTAGAGGTATAAAATCAAAATGGTAAATACTAAATGAGATGTGGCATATGAATAGAACAGAAAGTGGTAGCAAATGAACACTTTGAGGATGGGGTGGGAAGATGACATTTGAAATTAAGAAGGAAGATAAAATATGAGATGTAGAGGAGAGATGATAGTTGAGATGAAGCTTTAAAATGATACTTTAGATGAAAAGGGAAGATGACACTTGATATGAAAGGGGAAGATGACACTTAAGAGTAAAGGAAAGATAGCGTTTGAGATGAAGAGGGTAGATGACGCTTGTGATGAAGAGGGTAGATGACACTTGTGATGAAGAGGGTAGATGATACTTGAGATGCAAAGGGAAGGTGACTCTTGGGATGAAGAGGGTAGATGACACTTGTGATGAAGAGGGTAGATGATACTTGAGATGAAGAGGGTAGATGACGCTTGTGATGAAGAAGGTAGATGACACTTGTGATGAAGAGGGTAGATGATACTTGAGATGAAGAGGGTAGATGACGCTTGGGATGAAGAGGGCAGATGACACTTGTGATGAAGAGGGTAGATGATACTTGAGATGCAAAGGGAAGGTGACTCTTGGGATGAAGAGGGTAGATGACACTTGTGATGAAGAGGGTAGATACTTGAGATGAAGAGGGTAGATGACGCTTGTGATGAAGAGGGTAGATGACGCTTGTGATGAAGAGGGTAGATGACACTTGTGATGAAGAGGGTAGATGATACTTGAGATGCAAAGGGAAGGTGACTCTTGGGATGAAGAGAGTAGATGACACTTGTGATGAAGAGGGTAGATGATACTTGAGATGAAGAGGGTAGATGACGCTTGTGATGAAGAGGGTAGATGACACTTGTGATGAAGAGGGTAGATGATACTTGAGATGCAAAGGGAAGGTGACTCTTGGGATGAAGAGGGTAGATGACACTTGTGATGAAGAAGGTAGATGATACTTGAGATAAAGAGGGTAGATGACGCTTGTGATGAAGAGGGTAGATGGCACTTGTGATGAAGAGGGTAGATGATACTTGAGATGCAATGGGGAGGTGACTCTTGGGATGAAGAGGGTAGATGACACTTGTGATGAAGAGGGTTGATGATACTTGAGATGAAGAGGGTAGATGACGCTTGTGATGAAGAGGGTAGATGATACTTGTGATGAAGAGGGTAGATGATACTTGAGATGCAAAGGGAAGGTGACTCTTGGGATGAAGAGGGTAGATGACACTTGTGATGAAGAGGGTAGATGATACTTGAGATGAAGAGGGTAGATGACGCTTGTGATGAAGAGGGTAGATGACACTTGTGATGAAGAGGGTAGATGATACTTGAGATGCAAAGGGAAGGTGACTTTGGGATGAAGAGGGTAGATGACACTTGTGATGAAGAGGGTAGATGATACTTGAGATGCAAAGGAAGGTGACTCTTGGGATGAAGAGGGTAGATGACACTTGTGATGAAGAGGGTAGATGATACTTGAGATGAAGAGGGTAGATGACGCTTGTGATGAAGAGGGTAGATGACACTTGTGATGAAGAGGGTAGATGATACTTGAGATGCAAAGGGAAGGTGACTCTTGGGATGAAGAGGGTAGATGATACTTGAGATGAAGAGGGTAGATGACGCTTGTGATGAAGAGGGTAGATGACACTTGTGATGAAGAGGGTAGATGATACTTGAGATGCAAAGGGAAGGTGACTCTTGGGATGAAGAGTGTAGATGACACTTGTGATGAAGAGGGTAGATGATACTTGAGATGAAGAGGGTAGATGACGCTTGTGATGAAGAGGGTAGATGACACTTGTGATGAAGAGTGTAGATGATACTTGAGATGCAAAGGGAAGGTGACTCTTGGGATGAAGAGGGTAGATGACACTTGTGATGAAGAGGGTAGATGATACTTGAAATGAAGAGTGTAGATGACGCTTGTGATGAAGATGGTAGATGACACTTTTGATGAAGAGGGTAGATGATACTTGAGATGCAAAGGGAAGGTGACTCTTGGGATGAAGAGGGTAGATGACACTTGTGATGAAGAGGGTAGATGATACTTGAGATGAAGAGGGTAGATGACGCTTGTGATGAAGAGGGTAGATGACACTTGTGATGTAGAGGGTAGATGATACTTGAGATGAAGAGGGTAGATGACGCTTGTGATGAAGAGGGCAGATAACACTTGTGATGAAGAGGGTAGATGATACTTGAGATGCAAAGGAAGGTGACTCTTGGGAAGAAGAGGGTAGATGACACTTGATGAAGAGGGTAGATGATACTTGAGATGAAGAGGGTAGATGACGCTTGTGATGAAGAGGGTAGATGACACTTGTGATGAAGAGGGTAGATGATACTTGAGATGCAAAGGGAAGGTGACTCTTGGGATGAAGAGGGTAGATGACACTTGTGATGAAGAGGGTAGATGATACTTGAGATGAAGAGGGTAGATGACGCTTGTGATGAAGAGGGTAGATGACACTTGTGATGAAGAGGGTAGATGATACTTGAGATGCAAAGGGTAGGTGACTCTTGGGATGAAGAGGGTAGATGACACTTGTGATGAAGAGGGTAGATGATACTTGAGATGAAGAGGATAGATGACGCTTGTGATGAAGAGGGTAGATGACACTTGTGATGAAGAGGGTAGATGATACTTGAGATGCAAAGGGTAGGTGACTCTTGGGATGAAGAGGGTAGATGACACTTGTGATGAAGAGGGTAGATGATACTTGAGATGAAGAGGGTAGATGACGCTTGTGATGAAGAGGGTAGATGACACTTGTGATGAAGAGGGTAGATGATACTTGAGATGCAAAGGGATGGTGACTCTTGGGATGAAGGGGGAAATGACACTTTAGATGAAAAGGCAAGACGACAATTAAGATGAAGACGGAGACTAAACTTTTCAGAGAGGCAGCAACCTGGTTGCCTGTTTCAAAAAAGTAACAATTTTTGGGAAAAAGAAATTTAGGCGAAACTTTCTTCTTACACTTACGGAAGCGATAAGGGTGATTCGACTGTAGAAGCTTCATGGCGTCTCTTCTATATAATAAATGCGAATGTCAGTGTGTCACACATTTTCAACTTTACTCCGAGAGGCCGTAGCTCAACATATACCATTTTAGAATCAGGCAAATTAAAAACATTCCATGCCTAATCCGGACCCACAATCCGGAAATTTTGGATTCCCAAATTTTGATTACTGTGATTGTTTTCGGCAACATTTTACCTGATTTTTTGCGATTAATTTTTTTTGTACGATAACAATTTTTATAAATTCGAAACAAAATTGGAAATGATTGAGATTAATCGCGAAATCCAGCAAAAGTCACCAATAAAATAAAAATAATTGTTTGTACGGAAAGTAAGCGCCCACATACATCAAACTGACTTAAAATTAATTGACGACGGAAGAATTATTGTTGAACTTTAAATAGGTAAGCTTAGATATTAATGCAATCAATTTTGAGTTCTTTTGTAGTTTATTGTTGCCTATCGCATGTACTCCTTCCTACGTCTTGTGATTAAGGCTCATCAAGAGCCCTCTGTAGGATCTAGCTTAAATGCCGCCCGATAGCGCGACTTTTAAACTATTAGCTGTAAATATTTGATCTGACGGACATTTAACTTGAAAAAATAATCTAGCATAATATGCCAAAAATGTTACTCATTTCCTTCTATCATTATGAGAATATGTAAAAACGAATGAACACTAACACTACAATCAAAACTGATATTTTTGACTGAATTTAGCTAAAATTAAATGCTAATAATGCCACATACGTAACTAAAAATACAGAACAATATCTTTAAGATGATCTGTAATTTGGATACACTCCCAAATTATTTTGGTAAATTTTATGAGGTATTCTCATTATTGATCTTCTGAGGTATTCTGCCATTGTTATTATTAATATTTTACCGTATTTTTCTTGTGTATGGGAGACACGGTGAAATAATGGATAGCGGCTCGGATTGAGGATTCGGAGAGCCGAGTTCGAATTCCATTATATTCAATTACGTGCTAATATTCTTGGGCAAGGTATGAATACTCTCGTCTCCCCAACCCCACCAGCTATGGACAAATAGCAGGACTGGCCATAGATGGCAACTGGTCTACCGCAAAAAAAAAAAAAAAAAATAGCAACCTACTGCGGGAAAACATCTGCATCGCCGGTCATGTATCGAAAGATATATGATCGCCTAAGCGTGTATCACGTATGGCACATAACTGATTGATACTCGTGTATAAGCCTATCCAAATATAAGCCGACCTTTCATTATGTTTAAGAAGTGGGCAAAAATACTTCTTCGCCACAGAACTATTTTTGTCACATGATGCGTTCAAGTCAGTCAGTGTGTAAACTGTTTTCTTTACTGTCTTCGATAATAATACCTGAACGATTTTCTTGTATTGTTCGATCTGTGTTGATAGAAAAATCCCAGTTGAATCATGCTCCTAAATTATTATTATAATTGTTGTTGTTGTTTTTGTTGTTGTTGTAGCAGTAGTAGTAGTAGTATAATTATTAGTAGTAATAGTAGTATTTCCTTTGATTTTTGGTGTATATTCATTTCTTTTCGGGTCCCGACAAGAAACCTGAGGTCAGAAATGGCATCATGACATTTTCCACTGCGCAGTTTTGAATGCAACCCCCCCCCACCACCAAAACGCACATATTTTACATCGATAAAGCCCTTCGTAAGGTGTACTTGTGAGCACAATTTTTTATTTCTTTAAGGCATAGGCTTCAATTAGTCTATTGGAGTCTTTTCCAATCAATTCATGGGCCCCAACTACAACTGCAATTGTTAATATCCTCATGTACCACATTTTTAATATTTTATATTTTTATTATTATTATTATTAGCAGTAGTTGTAGCATTTGTGTTCTATATAAATTTCCTTCTGGGTCCCAACAAGAGACCTAAGGTCAGAAATGGCTTCATGGCATGTTCCATGGATCATCTTTTGTACAATAAAAAATCCCTAAGATCACACACATTGTACATAGATGAAGGTCTTCGTAATTACATCGTTTATCCTATTTCTTTAAGTCATCGGTTACCCAGAATCCCTTCAATGGGTCTATCTGAACTTTTCCAAGCAATCCGAGGGCTACAACTAGAATCATTGATGGATTCATGTGCCACATTTTTTAGATTACCACTTCAAGATGTTTGTATTCTGATAGTTTTTTTTTTTTGACGATTCAAAGATATGTTACAATCAACAGGAACAGTCATGTCAATAAGAAAGCACATTCTCTTCTTGTGGTCTTTGATCAACGATGTTTTTCATTGTTCTGCCTGTGTGTGTTGTAAAGTTCCATAAAATTGTTACAGGTCCTATTCTCTGTAACCGGGTCTCGGTGAAGTTCATACTAGTTTCTTGCAGTTTTCTTCCCGTAAACGTTGCATATTTTCCAATGCAAATATTAGCCCACACTATCATGCCGAGTTTCATATTCAGTGGATGCCAGTACCGTGCAACCTGATACAAGATTGTTACAATTGTTTCTGGATATTTATCACAGAATGTGCCTTTCGGGTCAACACAATTTTTCAGTAATTTCTAGTTAACAAACATTGGTCCTGTGCAGCAAGAATAAACATTAAACCTGTACTACGTAACCATTGATGGTTAAGGGGTTTGTCCCCATCAGCTTGCTTGGTAACGGTAGAGTATTGACCATGAAGAAGCGTATCTTATCATTGTTTCTGCAATTTTTATATTGCATTTGTTTTCTTTTTAAGGTTCTTTGTCGCTGCAGTCGGTGTATTGTGGTCTGTACTTCTACACCCACTTGAAATTTCCTTTTGAATTTGTTGGCCCCCTTTATTATTATTATTATTATTATTATTATTATCCAGACTATGCAATCAACGATGTCAATGGAGTATCTTGTCCAAGAATTATTTCTCGTAAAGAATGGCACGCTAAACCAGCAAAACGTACCAAGCGTCTATCAACTCCTGTGAAATATGCTGTTGTACACCATTCAGATACGCCTCAGTGTTTCACTGAGCTTGATTGTAAAAGGCGGGTAAAAAATATCCAGAATTATCACATGAATCATAACGGTAAGTTAAGAAAATAATTTTGACTACAATATCCGTTCGCAGACTCGAAAAGTAAACACGTTTATTTATTCTTCAACGCTTTGCTGTAAATATCAATTTTTTGAGTATATGAGCTTTACGAGTATACCCATTTCTAAATTGTCGAAGGAAGTCCATGTTTAACGTGTCCCAAAAATTCAAAATTAGGAAAATAAACACTTAATTATTATTGGAACACTTAAATTTCAAATCGGAAACACCAAAATCAAGCAAGTACAAAAGTATCTGGCAAGTATTTTAACAGAGATGACGGAAAGTGCGATAACGAAATGTGAAGCCTCATTGGGATAGCCAAAGAAGCTTTCCAAAAGCTAAGCAAAGTATTAAGAAACAGAAAAATTTCGTTAGAAAAAAACCCAGTAATAACGAGTTATGTAATGTCAGTCTTTCTATATGGCAGTGAATGTTGGACAATTTTCTCACAGATGAAGAACATGTGAGCAGCGAGGAAGTTTTGGAGAAAATGAAAACAAAAAGGACACTTATACTTAACATCAGAAAGCGACAGTTGGAATTTCTAGGGAACATAATGAGAAAAGAGAGCTTAGAAATTTTAACACTTACAGGATCTATTGAAGGCAAGAGGGAAAGAGGAAAACCTACCTAAAGAACTTGTGTAAATGGATGTCAGAACAGAGTTGAGGAGAAAGAAAAAATAACATTTTACTAAGAGCTACAAAGGATATATTTTGTTTTACTTCTCTTTCTTTCTCTCTCTCTCTCTCTCTCTCTCTCTCTCTCTCTCTATATATATATATATATATATATATATATATATATATATATATATATATATATATATATATATATATCGGGCCGAATTTCCCTGACGATCCGTTTAGGTGAAACCTAGGTAGGTTTGTTTGGCTCACTAGGTGTATCTAGGTCTGCTCTACGGTTGTATTGAGCTCTTTTGTTAGTTAGTTGTTTACTCGTATCGGGTTTTTTCTTTGGGCTTCAAACCTGCATCTGTGCGATTTATTTCGACAGACTTTCATGTTTGTAGCTCTTTCTTTTTTTAAAACCTTTTTTTCCCTCGAAATTGATTTGATTATTGGCAAATCAAAAATTCGAGGGTTTTTCGAAACGAGTATAGTTATCTATCTATCTATCTATCTATCTATCTATCTATATCTATATCTATATATCTATATATATATATATATATATATATATATATATATGTGTGTGTGTGTGTGTGTGTGTGTGTGTGTGTGTGTGTGTGTGTATTGGGTAGAAGTGGGATTAATGCCAAATAAATGTCCGTATCAATCGTTTGAATCTCCAATATGCTTCTCAAACAAACTCTGGGCAACTTGGTCAACCGATGACACGTCATTATCCAACATATATTTGCTCATCGGCACCTGTCCACAAACACACATTAAAATCTCTTCTTCTGAGAACCACCAACACTGTCGTTAACTCCATTGCTGTGATCATTGTTCAAAATCAACGAAAAACACTGATTATAACTCATAATTTTCCTAACAGGCAACCTATTCTCAATTTTGAAGATTAGAGCAGCACAATCTTCACTAATCTACCTGAAGACATTTGAATAAAGCAAGAGACAAATAGCTTACTTAAGAAATGCCATTAAAAAATTCTCTACGCCGATACACATTAATTTCACTGCTTACAAAAACGAGATGTTTAATCAAACACATGTACCCTTTAAATATATCGTTTATAATGAGATAAAATAATGAATTAACATGCCCATTAATTGCTTATATGTAGTGTATATTTGGGCAGTAATCCTTCATTTATGCAGTTTTCTTTAAATATGACGGCAAGAATTATATTGTTAGTATTTTATTGAAAATGGCTCAAAGAAACACACACACATACACACACACACATATATATATGTGTATATTGGTTATTTGTGATATGTTGCGAATTGCAAGAAATGTTGAGAAAGTGTGGTGCATGTGAGGTCAATGCAAAAATGTAATGTCGTTTGTTGATTGTTAGTGTTGAAGATACACTCCCGTCCGTACGTTCTAGTAGATGCTAATAATAATTATTATATCACTTTAATATATTGAAAAAACACAAATATAAATTAATATCTCCTTAATTATAAAATTGAATGCCCTCACAGCTATAAAATAGCTGTTATAAAAAGCAAGATTTGCCGTGTGAAAATGATTTCCTCTTCGGACACGTTGTTTTATAGAGAGTATATATATATATATATATATATATATATATATATATATATATATATGTGTGTGTGTGTGTGTGTGTGTGTGTGATAAAATATACTTTTAAGATTTATGGGTAAAAGTCTTCAATGGCAGGGATAGAGTGTATGTAAATATAAAAGCAGACTCTGAGCTCAACACTGAGTGGCGACAGTCTGTTCCGTGATTGAGCACAATCTTCAGGCTATATATATATATATATATATATATATATATATATATATATATATATGAATCTTTTACTTATTTTACACACTTTGATTTGATAATATTTTGAATTCACTTTTGCAAAAGAAAATTCATATAACCTCC